CCCTCCCACTCCCACTCCCATCCAGTCAGTAACCTGTGCCTCGGGTAATGGGCACAGCAACACTTCTAGCTTACTGGCACCACCCATTTTTCAGTTCAAATCCCTGTTAATGAGGACAAGTGGGGGATGGGCCATTCCACACTTGTGCTGGCTAACAGGGATTTGAACTGAAAAACGGGTGTAAATCAGTAAAACCTGAATGACTTTAAAAAAAAATCAGGGAATTTTATCAGTGAAAACTGGTGAAAAACAGAATGCAGAACCACTAGGTACAACTCACAGGGAGTACCCAAAAAAGGAGTTAACTCTGTTATTTATTCACAAGAGTGAGCCAAAGAGTAGAGTAAACACTGACATTAGAGCAAGTTGCTGCAGTGCACAAGAGCCCTACACTCACATCTTCACTCCAAGGTGAGGTTTTCTGTATGTAGAGCTGACTTTTTATGTTTATCTTTTCTTAATATGTTAAAACAAAGTAATAGTTCAAGGCTGATCCTACAGCTACTCTGCACACAAGAAACCCCTGTTCGTATTAACAGCTCTGGTGGCTTCAGTGGGGTTACCTATATGAATCGGAGTGCCTGGATGCATGATGATTTAAGGAATCAACGTGCAGCTTGCGTATGCTGGCTGATGGCATGAAACAGCTTTATTTAGAGTTCCTACAAGAGTGCCTGGGCTGAAGGTTTCTAGAATGTACTTCCTAGATGAGATGCAAAGGAGGTGTTGCATTTAATGATCGTGTTATAACTAGGCAAGATGTTAAGAAGCTCTCCTAAAGCGCATGAAAAACAGTGCTCTCCTACCTCTTTGGAGGGAGGGGTGAGGTGCAAAATTACTGAACACAGAACAAATAATGATGGTAATGATAGAGGCTTTGGAGAAGTAAATTTGCAAAGCAACCCTGCCTTACCTAAGGATGCTTGACCCTGGCACACAAAGTGATCTAGAATTGTCAGAGAATTGAGGCATGAAGATCCGGACAGGGTTTCTTATTTTTTTTTGTCACTAGTGGTATAATTCTCATACCAGTGAGCAGTGTTTTTAGGAAGCCTGTGTCAAAATCTGTTCACATTTATCATATGCTTTTGAAGTGTTAAAACCTGAACTAGAAAGCTTATACCTTCCATGGGGAGATCTGGGGAGAAAATATGGTCAAGCTTCAGTAGAGCCTGAGAGATCAGTAATAGCCCAAGGGCTCAGACAGTTGAAGCACAGGATCCAGTCCTCAGGCTGGTCAGATGCACACCTGGAATGTATGGAAAGGCCTCAGCCTAGAGGGGGTGTGCCTAGACCTCGGTCCTACTTGAGACTTAAGCTCACAAGCCCAGTGGATCAGGATCCAACACACAAGTCTGGTGAGTATCCAAAGCAGAGCTCAGGCCTGTGATGCTATGAATTATATTGTATGATACCACAGCAAATTATAAGCCAAAGAGTTGGGGTGAAATGAAACCTTAGCCCTGCTGGAGTTAACAGTAACGCTGGGATCGATTTCCTTAGCCTGGAACTTCAGCCATAGTCACCGCCTGCCCAGAGGGTTTTCTCCCTCCCATATCACCACTCCTCACCCAGAGACTCTCACCTCATGGTCCAAGCCTACTTCCTTTTCCCTCCCCCATATAATAAGGCTCTTACTGAAGTAAAAGGGAGTCTACTCAGGCAAAGGCTTCATTCAGGATTGCTGCTCGGGCTTCCCCGCGCATCGTGCCACCCCGCAGCACTAGCTGCAGCCCGAGGAAGGTGCCAGGCGCTCCGGCCTGAGGTTCCGCGGAAGAGATACGCCCCGGCTAAAGGGGCAGGCGGGCCCACAGGCTCGGCTCGGCTCCGCCTGAAGCCCGCAAGCGAATGCCAGCCACGGCCTGCAATGCCTTTCTCGGAGCTCCAGCCCCTGCACGTCGCCTCGCCGCGATCTACCCGGAGCGCCCGCAGCCCCGCCCCCGCCAATCCGCGCCTCCAGGAGCTGGGCCCTCCCATCGCGCCCTTTGGGGTGAGGATGAGAACTGCTTTCCGCGGCCGCAGACCCGAGCTCGGCACTGCTGGCGTCCACTAGCAGGATCTGCCCATGTCACGCGGTCCTAGAGCCGCTGCCGGGGTGCCTCGCTGCTGCCGAGCGGGTGAGGCGGGCGCGGGCCGTGGGGCTTGGCGCGGTGACCGCTTCCCCCCCCAGCAGCCGCAGTGGTACAGTCCGCTGGAAAGACTCGGGGCTGCCAGAATCTCCGCGCCCGCACTGGGTTGGCGGCTCCCCCGAGCAGAGGAAGGCGCGGCGGGGGCAGTGGCAGTGGCAGTGGCTAGGGCTGCTGCTACCACCACCACCCCTGTATGGTGGCTCTTGCTCTTTCCTCCTCCCCTTTCTCAATCAATTCTTCTTTGAAATTTTTACCTCTGACCTTTTCTTGCTTGGTGAGTATTTTTTCCCCTTTTTTCTTCTTCTTCAGCTACTTCCCCCCCATTCTTTCCTCTTCTTAGATGCAATTATTAAGTTTAAAAGTATTTCCAATAAAAGGCTTTTGTATCTTCTTCTTTTTTTTAATAAGACCTTTTTAGTCGTCTTATTTCTACCACCAGCCATAGAGGTTTGGCAACTAAACTTGTGTTCTGCTGCAGAATCCCTCCCAGATTTTATCTTCCTGTGATTCTTCTCTTAGATTCTTTACCTAAGGTGTTTTTAAACATTGATTTGTATTTTGAAAGTGGCTTGGCTCTAAGTTCCCTGCTCTGATTTCAAGAGCATTTGTCCCCCTTTTGTTGCAGGTGCAAATGTTTGACTGATGTAGAAGTTAAAAAAAAGAAAAAAAGAAGAGATACCACATACATTTTTCCCCTGTATAGTCTTACCCTCTGTCCCCCTTGGTTATTACAGTCACGGGTTCTTGTGCCTTGCAATTATTCATATTTTCTTGAAGATTTATATTAAAAAAGATACGTGGATGTGCTGTTGGAAATGAGTCTTTTTGTTTTGTTGTTGGTTTTTTGTCTCTTATTTTGTTGTAGTTTTTTTTCCCCTTAAATCCTATCATTTACAACTGATTTTTTTTTTTTTTCTTGAAAGTTTTGGCCTGACTTGGTGTCTTCCACCTGTATAGTAATGCAAGGAGAATGGGAAAGGAGAAAAGAGGACACAAGTGTCAACAGCTGTAGGATGAGAAACTTTTGTGGTTTTTAAAACAAGCTGGTAAAATCCTGACCCCACTGAAGGCAATAGCATAACCCCCGTTGACTTCACTGAGAGTAGGATTTTTAACTCCTGGGTGTGGAATAAAACCTTTTCTGTTTTAGCCTCCCCTAAAGGAAAAAATTAACAAGTTCTGATTGGACAACATACTGTTCCCTGTGTCTCAGCACTGTATTGATGGAACTATATCAACCCAGGTGTGTTTGTGTATTGTTTTTGTGGAGAAATGATTGTATGTTGGCTGGGTATTTGCTGTGTTCAAAAAAAGCTTTTATTGATCATTGTAATCCAGAGCTCTGCTTAGAAAAAGAGTGACTTTGTAGAAAAAATGACAGCTTACCTTACTGCTTTGGAAAATTTAAGCCTTGGTATCTTGGGTGAAGGTTGCAGTTGTGGCTATTGGAACATATTTAAGGTGCTTTGTACTGACCAAATAGATTGTGAATGCACTAATCAAACTCTGTGCTAGCTTGAACAGCACCGGAACAAAAGTGCTTTCTTCGCAGCAAATGGGGCCTCAAAAGACATTACCCTTACCTGTGGTTGTTATGCGTTTTGGTTTGTTTGTTTGTTTGTTTGTTTTTGTTTTTTTGGAAAGAGGTAGTTCTAATGGACAGGAGTTAGTTGAGAGTAAGTAGTACATGCAGACTGAGAATTTGAATGGCCGTTTTGAGACCAGAAACAGAAATCTACTCTTCAGACCAATTGATGGTCTAAAGGCTTGGATATCTGTCTTCAACAGTAAGATTCTTCCCCACCCCCCAGTTTGGCTATCAGCATGTATTTGAAAGGTATTCTGAACTCTAACATATTCCACAACCAAAGAAAAAACCTAAGAAATGGCTCTTTTTACAAACTATCTGCGAGAGCGTGTGTCTCAGTATGCCTTGGTCTTCTCTGAATACATTCAAATATTTTGCTTCCCAGCAGTGGGGGAAAATGATAGAATTCCTTGGAAGGTTATACTGAGCTTCAAATTCTCAACAGACAGCCCTTTTTTCAGTGGCTCTTCAGTTTGAACTTTGCTAGAAATTACAGCAAGGGGTTTTAAGCTTGTATTTGGCAGCTCCCAAGGCATGAAGCATTTTCTTTGATATCAAAGAAGTCAGAGACTAGCCCCTTGTGCATAGGTGCCACACATGCTGAACAATAGCTTCCATCAGTGGCTCTCCAAGTGCAGCATTTAGAAAGAAGCTGATTTGGGACACCAGTTGTATTATCAGGAATAATCTGAATAGGAGAGAATGTACAAGAACTTAGACCCTGACTTGAAACTAGACTTCATGCTCTGTTTCCATTTATCTACGCTTGCCCTAGATAATTTTTTTACTTATTCATTTGATTTTTTTCAAACGCTGCCTGGAATCAATGATAGTGTTAGAGTGATGTTGTAGTCATGATGTTCCAAGAACTGAGAGGCAAGGATTCAAGGACAAACTAGATTTTTGCCCCCCACCCGCTGCTTAAGTTATCTGTGTTGTCAAAGGCCCCTTTCTAATGTGTGGGGGATGCTGACTTTCTCAGAGTGCTTCAGCAGTTGTTTTCAACCTAGAAGAGGAAAGAAGGCTGGTGTGTCAACTGGGCTTTGTAGAAACTCCCAGAGAAGAGGAACATAAAAAGCCAAGTCATGGCAAACATTGTGGTGGAAAGTTTCATGTCCGTATACCAAAGACAGTACATGGAAGAAAAGCTTCTAAGCCAGTAGTTTTTGACCTTCTTTCATTTGCGGACTCCTAAAAAAAAAAAAAAAAAAAAAATTGAATGGAGGTGCAGACCCCCTTGAATTGTAAGTGTAGGTCTTCACATACTTTTGATGGATCATGGCCATCTTTTGCTTAGACTGCAGACCCCTGGGTATCTGCAGACTATAGGTTGAAAACTACTGTTCCAAGCAAGTATCTGCATCTGCTGATGATTTTTAAGGAGGAGGGTTTCTTCTTCTCCTTCTCCAGAATTATGGGTGAGTGGCAGCCAGGAAGTTAAGACCTGTGTGAGTAAAATCTAAATCCTGGTGCACCAAACTAATATATGGGGGGGGGGAAAGACTTCCCATCTTTTTTTATGGCATGCTTACCTTCACCAGTG